CTCCCCCTGCTTGTGTTCCCTCTCTCGCTCTCTCTCTCTCTGTCAAATAAATAAATAAAATCTTAAAAAAAATAAATATAGAGACAAACTGACAACAACAACAACAACTCTAATTGATACTGAATAGGTGTCAAGAAACAAGAAACTGTTTTAACCATAGCCTTATGCCTCCCATACACAGAGATCTGAATTAGGGAACTTAATGTTAACTCTCTGGGTCTCAATATTGTAATGTGTAGAATGGCGGGAGGTAAGTAGAAAGAACAGGGCTTCTCTCCAACTCTTATTTTACATTATTTGAATTTAGGTGTAGCGGAATTCCTTGTTGTCCTCATTAATTTTATCAAAGCATTCCAACAGGTATTTAATATCTACTATCTAACCACTTCAACTTACCACATTATATCTCTTTAGAGTATCTACTCTTTGCTAGTCACTGTTCAAAGCGTTTTATATATAATATCTCAGTCATAGCAATCATCTGAGAAAGTTAACCTAAGTCTCATTTTACAGGTGACAATTTTGGTTCTGAGAGGTGATATGATTTACTCAGATCCTCTGACTTCCAAACATTTGTGGGTTTTTTGTGTTTGTTTGTTTGTTTTTATACTTCAGGACAGTGAGAGGGTTACGACTATCTTAACAGGGAAAGGGAATAAGGAAGCTATAGTTGACCCTTCACTCTCAGCAAATGCTGTGGCCACTGACATTGACCTGAGAGCAGCATGAGACTATGGGAAGCCTTTCTCCAAATTCAGCCCATCATTCTAAGTGCACTTCTCTCTTTGGATTCGTGAGCAGAACTGAAGACAGTGCACGAGGGTTCTGGAGGATACCGATTAACTGGACGTCTTTAAGCCCACAGAACTCCTTGTTATTATTAATTTTCGGCTAGGCGGCATCAAGTTAACCGTCAACCACAACAAAGATGGCAGCCGCGGCTTCACCACGGCAACAGCGACGCTACTTGCCAACGGGCGCCTCAATATTTACTTCCGGCCTGTCCGTTTAACGTCACTTCCGATACCGGCTCCCGGGCGTGTGCGCCGCTCCTCCTGCAGCCACGGTCGGTGATGCCGAGCCGGGTGAGTGGAGTGTGAGAGAGTCTCACGGAGGGAATCCGAGAGAATGTGGGGCCAGCAACATGGAAAGGGAAGGTGGGAAGCCTGCGGCTGTTGTCGCGGTTGTGACTGAGCCTCGGTTTACCCAGCGATACAGGGAATATCTCGAGAAGCAGAAACTCCTGGATAGACGGCACCGTGTAGAAAAGATGCCGGATGGCACGGTGGCGCTGCCCGTGCTGGGAGAGACTCTCCCTGAGCAGCACCTTCAAGAGCTGAGGGATCGTGTGGCTCCAGGCAGCACCTGTATAGTAACGCAGCTCCTGGATCCAGTTCCCTCAAAGAAGGCCCAAGGTTGTTCACCTGCCCAAAGGCTGTGTCTTGAAGTGAGTCGCTGGGTAGAGGGCCGGGGAGTGACGTGGTCACCTGAGTTGGAGGCTGATTTGCCCAGATCTTGGCAACGACATGGTGACCTCTTGTTGCTGAGCGAGGACTGTTTCCAAGCCAAGCGATGGAAAAATCTGGAACCAGAACTCTGGGAGACTGTTGCGTCTGCACTTGGCGTCCATCGTGTGGCCAAACGAGGGCGGGTATCACCAGATGGCACTCGAACACCAGCAGTGACTCTGCTGCTGGGCGACCATGGCTGGGTAGAGCACGTGGATAATGGGATCCGATATAAGTTTGACGTGACCCAGTGCATGTTCTCCTTCGGAAACATCACTGAGAAGCTTCGAGTGGCATCGTTGCCCTGTGTTGGAGAAGTGCTGGTGGATCTCTATGCAGGGATTGGTTATTTTACATTGCCCTTCCTAGTCCATGCTGGTGCTACCTTCGTCCATGCCTGTGAGTGGAACCCCCATGCTGTAGTTGCTCTGAGAAAGAACCTTGATATCAATGGAGTGGCAGATCGGTGCCAAATACACTTTGGGGATAACAGAAAACTGAAGCTCTCAAACATTGCAGACAGGGTGAACCTGGGACTGATTCCCAGTTCTGAAGAAGGCTGGCCCATTGCCTGCCAAGTGCTAAGACGGGATGCAGGGGGCATTTTGCATATACACCAAAATGTGGAATCTTACCCAGGCAAGAATCTCCAGCCTCCTGGAAGCAGTGAAGTGGAGAAGGAGCATCGGCCTTATCCTCAGCAAATTATCACCAACCAGTGTACAAATGGAGCAACCACGGGTTCTAGGAGAAGAATGCTGTCAGCAGCCACCAAACCAGAGTGGCAGGGGTGGGCGGAATCTGCAGAAACTCGTATTGCCACCCTTCTTCAGCAGGTGCACGGGACACCATGGAAGACACAAATCCTGCACATCCAACCAGTGAAATCCTATGCTCCCCACGTGGATCATATAGTGTTGGATTTGGAATGCCGCCCCTGTCCTCTAGTTGGCTAGAGAAGGTGGATCCTGAGACACAAGGATCTACATGTGAGTGACCCTTAATACATAAGTTGAGGCGGGGTTCTCACCCCTCTTTTCTCCTGGCAACCTATTTTAATATTTTGTGTCCCTGAAAGCAGGCTCTAGATCAGTACAAGTCATCTTGTTTGTCTTCCGTTAACACATTGAGAACGAACTACATATCTGGGAGAAGCAGTATGGCTTATTGAGATGAGGCCTGTACAATGAATTCTGACCTCAGTCCTGTCTTACCTTGGGTACGTGGTTCCAATATTCTTTTGGCCTTGTAGTTCCTTACTTGCAAAATGAGGGTTTCTGTGAATGGTCTCATTGGCTGTTGTCTAATAAGCAGTTGTACACAGGGCATTGGTTATTTTAGAGTGAAGGACACAGTGCTGTTTCCAAAATCACTCCAGCTACAGTGTGGAAAATCGACCGGAGTGGGGCCAGGGTAGAAGCAGGGAGACCTGGGAGGAGGCTTCTGTGGTTGGCCAGGGAGGATATGGCAGTAGCTTGGACTAGGGTGGTGGCAGTGGGAAGTGGAGGGATTTGAGATATGAAATCCATGGGACTAAGCAACACAGTCCAAATCAAAGCACTCAAATGGTGCAGCTTTGTTACAAAGACTGACTAAATTAGGGAAGGAAGAGTTTAAGAATTACTCTATTGTATTAACTTCATTCCCTCTAGCATTCCTAAATGAGTGTTGGGGAGGTGTCTTACATATTATGTTTGTTGTTGTAGAAAAGAGATTAAGAATGACTGCTTTAAATTATGGGGAAACTAGATTTCCAGCCTTAAGTTTGTGCAATACGCTAGCTATTTTTTTTTTAAGAGATTTTATTTGAGAGAGCGCACGAGCAGGAGGGGTGGGGGCAGGGCAGAGGGAGAAGCAGATTCTCTACTGAGCAGGGAGCCCTGAGATCATGACCTGAACCAGTCAGATGCTTAACTGACTGAGCCACCCAGGTGCCCCTAAGCTAGCTATTTTAAAAGTTCAAATTAAAATCTTAGATTTTAACAGGCCTCAGACTCCCTTTTCATATTCTTTCTCTGGCTCCCTTTTCATATTCTTTCTCTGGTGGACATCAGGGCCAACATAAGGAGCTATTGGGAATGTGAGATATTCTGCAGTTTTTCAAGCCTCACCTTATTTTATGACTGTCTGCCAGCCCCATTGTTTACCATTGGAATGACTAATTGCAGAGTATCACTGATTACCTTTGGGATGACTAATTTTGAGAAGCACTTCAGAGCTTTGTTTTGGTGCACTTTGAAGCCATCTGGCCTTGTTTTCTTGATGAAGGAAACAGGAAAGTGTGGCTTTATCGGGATTATGATTGTATCTGGCATTTGGCTGGCTGGGGTTGGGCTGGAGCTGCTTGCCCTTTCCTTGTAACAGTGTCCATAAGGACAGGATCGGTGAACCTGCTGTGTATATGAACTGTAGGTGCATTAGATACAGCCCCAGTCTCTGAGGAGCTCACAACCTAGCAGCAGAAATAACACAAAAACTGAAAGAATTGGAATACAATAAGTACCATATGAGTGATAGCATGATATAGAAGTGCAAAGGTGGAGAAGAAAAGTTCTGAGAATGGGGAAGTCTTCAGAGAGGTAGTGTTTGATACCGCTCTTAAAAACTGGGTAAGATTTTGGTAATTGGAGTCGGGGTGGAAACAGATGCTAGTGGAAGAAAAAAAAAACAGGTGCAAAAAGTTTGCTCAGAAAATGTTTGGAGCATCGTCATTAGATCAATTTGGAACAGCAGAAGCAGGGAGAGATGTGTTGAAGATGGTGGTTGTTATAAGGATTAAAAAGAATAGTGTCTGGTACATAGTAAGCCCCCAGGAAATGTTAGCTCTCATGTGATCCCACCCCAGAAGGGGGCCTAATTGTGCCATTCCCATCCCACAGAGCAGCCTGCCTGTTTGCCTTAATCATCTCCTCTTTTACATATTGGGTTTCTTCTCACATGTGTGCCTGTAGCTTTCGAGCCTTAAACTAAAACTGCTGGGACTTGAGCCAATATGGGGAGGAAGGAAAGCAGGGGAGAAACAATGAGGAAGGTGAGTCAGGGAGCCACATGTCCAGGGGCTGAGGAGTTACTTTTCTGCCATAAGCTATGGATAGGCCGCTGAAGTCAGATACACCTGGGTGAATTCATTCACCCTCCAATATACACATCAGGCCTTGAGGGCTCAGGGGTGCCAGAAGATTGGCATGGATTCTATCTTCCTAGAATTGAGTTTCCACTTGTATGCCTCCTGGCTTCGCTCCCTTGTCCGTGACCTGAGGCAGCCTCTCAAGATTTAGTTACCCCATCTGAACATATGAGTTAACAATTGTGCATATCCTGAAGGATACTCTTTAGCTTTAAATGAGTTAACGTACATTAACTATCATCACAATGGCTGGCACACAGTAAATACTTCATTCATTCAGTAGTCTTTATAGAAGGTGAACTACCGGGGCGCCTGGGTGGCTCAGTTGTTAAGCGTCTGCCTTCAGCTCAGGTCATGATCCCAGGGTCCTGGGATCGAGCCCCATATCGGGCTCCTTGCTCAGCGGGAAGCCTGCTTCTCCCTCCCCCACTCCCCCTGCTTGTGTTCCCTCTCTCGCTGTCTCTCTCTCTGTCAAAAAACAAATAAAATCTTTAAAAAAAAAAAAAAAGGTGAACTACCGTTTCCCAATTTGGGTGTGAGGAATTGTTGTACATTTGCTTTAGTAGTTAAAGTAGAATGTCCTTATTTTGAAAAGCCACTCATTGATTAATTGGGATGTACTGTGTCCTTTCTCCGTTAGGCACTGTGATGAGGGCCAGAGACACAGGTGAGTAAAGTCAAGTCCTGAGGGGCGCCCGGCTGGCTCAGTAGGTAGGGCACGCAACTCTTGATCTCAGGGTTGTGAGTTCGAGTCCCATGCTGGGTGTGGAGATGACTTAAATAAAAATCTTAAAAAAAAAAAAAAAACAAGCTGAGTCCTGCCCACAGTGGGATCACTTCCAGCGACATGGACACAGAAGAAACAATACTGTGTACTAAGTGCTGAGACAAACGGGTTTTTACAGGCACACAGAGGAGGCAGCCATCCATGTTTGGGGATATGGGTTGGGGGAAGTGGAGAGTGTGCCTGGGAAGATGGGAGCGGGGATGCATCAACTGAGAGTTAAAGAATGAGCCGGAGTTACGTGTGAATGGAAGAAAACAAGGGTCCCTTAAGCCTTGTCTCCACCTTGAGTATATCCATTTACATTACAGTTTTCTCCAAGCACTTGCTGGATTGGCCTGGTCAGGAAGAGGCATCTAATGGAACCAAGGAAAAAAGACTGAAAGGATCAGGAGGCTCATGGAGTGTTTGTCACCTCAGTCCAGGAATGTGTGCTGAAGGCTTCCTTTGTGAGCGTCAGTATTAGTTGCCGGGTAAGGCACCCACTTGATGGAGAGGTTGTGATTAAAAAACAGTAATGATAATTTTATTAAACTCCCTCAACCGTGAGTTGCTTGGTTCATTAACTTCATAATTTAAATAAATTGTGTGCATATATTGATATAGAGTGTAACATATACATTTTAAACATAAAAACAGAAATTTAAAATGATGGCAAATACATAGCATTTTTAATTCACTTTCTCCCACCTGGGCACACATCTCCCACCCTGGGCACACCCAATATATGTTATTCTGAACAGCCTCAGGGTGCAACCACTTCAAATTGGGCAAGCCATAAAACCGGTCATTTTCTTGGCCTTTGGTAGTTTCCTTTTGTGTGTACTGTGTGTACTGATCATTACTCAGCTGCTACTTTAGGGGAATGGTCAGCAGATGTCTGGAGTTCTCTGTAGCTCTCTCCACTCTGGCATTCTACTCTCTGGACTCATTCCTGGGTTCCTAGGACTCCCTGTTCCATCTCCACCTCAGGGAGTCTCCTGGGCTCCACCTGGCTTCCCCCTCAAGCCACAGCCCAGAAACTTTCTCCAGGCAGTAAGATGGAGCAGTTCAGTGGCTCACCTTGTGGGTTTGCATCTCCCATGGATCATTGTCCATTGCCTATGTCCAGTACCTTGAGCGGGTTGTTCATGTGTTTTGTGTAACTTTTTTTTTTAAACTATTTAGAAGTTTATAATAATTAGTGTATAAATTTACTAGCTTTCACAATCATTGAAGAAATTCACTCTAGCAATAATAAATATATACAAGTACTTAAGCTGACACAAGATTTCAACATATAAAGCACATAAAAATTTCTTACCACTATTGTGCTTAGAATCCCTACCTATATTATAAACTGAATATAAAAATATTAACAATAAATACAGTGGCATCTTTCTGATTTGATATGATAATACTTGCCAGGTTACTCGATCAACAACCACATAATTTCAGAGAGGCCAAAAACTGTCAGAATAGCTACTTGTCTCTTTGGCTTTTTAAAGGTCAAGGTTGAATCAGAGGCAAATAGAAAATAATGAATATGAGGTTAAAACTGTATTTTGGTACATACCACAGACACACCACACATACATACCACACATGAATACCCACACACACCCCACACGTATCATATTGTCTCCTGGATTGAATGGCCCATGCAATAAAGATGCACATACACCATTAGGTAGATAGATATAGATGGGTAGATTGTCCTAGTTTCTCTTTCAGTAATTGAATTTTATTTTTTTAAATCAAAGCTATATATATGCATAGTTTCATAACTCAAGTAAAGGTAACACAACTTTATGAATAAGACTGCACTTCCACAACACCACAATGAAGCAACTATATCCCCCTCTCCTCATTTTTGGGTCTACTTTGAACAATTTCAGCTGGGCCCATGTGTCAAAGGGGATGTAGGATCTAACCAACATATACTACCAGGAGCCATGGAACCTGGGTCCTGAGAGCTGGCTAAGATGCAGTTTGCATTCATGTAGGACTCCACTCTCCCATCATAATATGGTCTGAGGAGATCTAGACCATCTGAACATCCCACAGAATATCACGCTAACCTACTATATTTATAGCATCATATTAATTAGGTCAGATAAACAATAAGCTAGTGTATTGCACTCCAAAGATGGAAAATAATCACTAATACAGTCCAGCAACCTGTTACAATAGTGAAATTTTTAGGGCTGCTGGTCTGCTTGAATGCTAAGATATCTCCTTCACAGTAAAGAATAAGTTTTTGCATCTCTCCCACTCATCAATACTCCTGGATGACAAGAAAGGCCAGAGGAAATGAACAGGTAGCACAGGCAGGTGGCCCAGACTCCTGTGTCATATTTATAACTCTTGCATCAGTGCCTTCCCTCAGCTCACAATTATGGCCACTTGAGAGGCTCTTCTGTCTTGCTGATGAAGGACAGAAATGCACAGCTAAGTTAATTGATAGGTTTTCTTGGAATATGGGTTCAAACAAAAAAATAGACTGCTGCTACCCTACAGCCCTCTTCAGAAGTGAGGGGAGTCCTCCCAAAAGGCAAAATTGGCAATATTTCTGGTCTCCACTTTGTATGGAAAGAGAAGTGGCCTGAAGTAAGAATATACCTTTATGGCAAATGTCAGATAGGTTGACGAGTTGATCAGGGCCCTGGAGTGGGAAAGATTAGATCAGGGACAAGGAAGCCGGGAGAAGAGGCAGTGGAAAAATCTCTGGGATTGGAACATGAGTAAACATCTTTGTATTGCAGAACAGTGCCTACCAGAGACTTGCACCGTGCAAGAGGAACTGAACAAGTAAACAAAAACACTTGGCCAGTTAATTTGAGCAGTTGTAGTCATGAGCTACTCCAATAGCATAATGGGCTCATGAATAAAGTCATGTTCAGGGATGTAGGTTATCAAGATGCCAACAGCATGGCCTCTACTCACCAAGGAGCCACTCCCTAGTATTCAGCACTGAGCCCTTGGAACAACACCATCCCTCAAGGAAAACAAACAGCTAAATGGTAGCAAGTGGATTACATTGGACTTTGGTCACGGAAGGGCAGTGATTCACTTTGACCAGAATCTTCCCATCTGCATGTATGAGTTTGCCTTTTCTGCCCACAAGATGTTGGCCAGCATCACTATCCAAGGGCTTACAAGTGTGTGATCCATCTGTATGTATCCTACGTAATATTGCCTCTGACCTAGGGATCTGATTTACAGCAAAGGTGTTTCAGTGGACACATGACCATGTGACTCACCAGTCCTATCACATCCTAGAAAATGCTGGCCTGGTACAGTGGTGGAAAAACCTTTTGACACCAGACCAAAGCTTGAAGATAATGCCCAGTGAATGAGATGCCATCCATCAGGATGCAGTATACACTCTATAAACACCTATTACATAGTCCATGTCCCATATAGATAGAAAATGCACAGCTAGGACTGAAAGGGTAGAAATAGGAGAATTCCTACTATGGTGGGCTACATAATGCCCCCCCCCCCAAATATGTCCATGTTCTGTAAATATGTTATCTTACAAGGTAAAAGGGACTTTGCAGATGTGATTAAGAATCTCAAAATGGGGGGGCGCCTGGGTGGCTCAGTCGTTAAGCGTCTGCCTTCGGCTCAGGTCATGATCTCAGGTCAAGCCCCGCATTGGGCTCTCTGCTCGGCCAGGAGCCTGCTTCTCCCTCTCCCACTCCCCCTGCTTGTGTTCCCTCTCTAGCTGTCTCTCTCTCTGTCAAATAAATAAAATAAAATCTTTAAAAAAAAGAATCTCAAAATGGGGAGGGTATCCTGGATTATCCAGGTTGGCCCAGTATAATCTCAGAGGTCCTTATAAGAGGGAGGTAATACAAGTAGGAGGAGGTGTGATGACTGAAGCAGGATGCAGTAATGTAAGGAAGGGGCCACAAGCCAAGGAATGCAGGCAGCCTCTGGAAACTGAGAAAGGCAGGGAAATGGATTCTCCCCTAGAATGCTTCAGGAGGAACAGAGTTGTTGACACCTTGATTGTAGACTTCTGACCTCCATAACTGAGAATAAATTTATGCGGTTTCAAGCCACTAAGTTTGTGGTTATTTGTTATAGCAGCAATAGGAAGGTAACATACGCACTTCCTGTCCCCATAGGCCCACCCAGGGAGTTTGTGCCTCCCATCCCCACAACTTTGTGAGACTAGAGGGCTGGTTCCTAATTGGGGAACTGTTTCATCAGGAGATAAAATAATAGACCCTTTAAACTTTAACCTACTGAAGTTTCCCAGTCACATCAGGCTCCTTGTGCTTAAGAGACCAGCAGGCAAGGAGGAGTCCCCATTCTGGGTGGGGATAAGTGAATGTGATCATGAGGAGGAAGTAGGGTTATTGTCATTATTGTCACACAGGAGGGCAGGAAGGCGTATATTTCATGCTTACTCCATCCACCAGGGCGCCTCTTGATACTTCCCTACCCAATGTCAAGAGTAAAATGAGCAACTTCCAAAACGGTGGAATAAGGACCTCTGAAAACTGGCCTCTCCATAAAAGCAATAAGAACACTGGCAAAAATTGTCAAAATCAACATTTTTTTTTTTTAGAACTCTAGAAACTAAAGGCTTGCCACAATCTGAAGAGCATTTATTTTAAAAACTGCTAAATCTTGATTAAAAAGGGAAGCTTCTGGCATTCTAACATGTCCTGTTCCTGCCCCCCCATCTCTAATACAAGTTAAATTGTTCTTAACTGTAGGGAGAATGCTTCCAGGATCATTCACCCTTAAGTGATATGCAGCCTTTGTTAGACCCATTATATTGCTGTTTTTTTTATCCTGCACTGTAGTGACACTTTTATCATAAATCAGGTGACCGTATATGTGGGGCTGTTTCTAGACTACCTTGTTCCATAGTCCGTTTTTCTATCCAAGCACCAATACCATCCTGTTTAAATTACTCTATCTTTACAATAGGTCCTGATATCTGATACTGTATGTCCTTCAACTCTGTTCTTTAAGATTCCCTTATTCTTGACCTTTTGCATTTTCTTATGAATTTTAAAATCAGCTTGTCAATTTTTGGGAAAAAGAACCTGTTGAGATTTTTTGTTAGGCTTGCATTGAACATAGAGGGTAAAATTGAAATCTTTACAGTACTAAATCTTCCATCTTGAAGCTTTTATTCTACTCAGTTGGGTGCAGCTCCGAAATGAGAAGTGATTATTAGAAGCCTGGACTACAGGATCCCATCTAGGGGGAAGGGTCCTATCCTTCCCATCCGTCAGTGGGGTACTATATCCATCTTCTTTGGGCTCCCTGCCTCGGCAGATGTTTTTAACTTAGTGTTACTTGTACTCTGCCTCTCAGTAGTGTCTTGGCCCTCAGATTATTCTTGACCATCACTTAACATAATTAACATATTTGAACCTATCACCTATTTACATTCTAACATAAATTAAGTACTGTGAATATGATTATCACATAAAACGATCCAAACAAACAATATCTTAACAGTACTCCTGAGCCAAACACAGAACCATTGCGAAGTGTTGTGTGTAGTGTTGTAAGGTTTCCAGTGAGTATTCTCCTAAAGTTTGTTCACCACACTAATTACTATTACATACTATATATCATACTAAGTACTTAAAATATATTGTTTTAATTTGTGTAACCTGCATGAAAAATTACTTGCAGAGG